TGACCGTCTTCTTGTCTGTGTCCACGGAAAGCGCCTGCAAACACATCAGCAACCAGTTTCAAAGCATGACTCAATCACATAGATAGCAAGTCATTCCCACATGTGTTGCTGTCCGGATGAAGATTTACCTCAAGGTCACAATGTCTATGAGATAAAACACAGATGCAAGCACATGCAGGATGTTGTCATACAGGAAGTACTCACTTCTTTCCTGAGCCACACCTCTATGTCATACTGATGGAAAAACTCCATCCTCCTCATCAGGATGCTGTCGCTCTCCACGTTCATCACCTGTGAAATCAGCGAAACTCCAGTGAAGTGAAGAAAATTCATAAAGAGACTTTCATGTGTTTGTGTCGAGTTATTCGCTGTGCTGAACCTTGCTCAGACGTGTTTTGTCGTAAGGTAGGAGGTCTTCTCTGGTCACCATGATGATCCTGCCACCAAAGTTTTCCTGCCGCAGCGTCTCAGCACAACTGAGTGAAGCGGCTCCTACACTTACACAAAACAACACACACACACACGCAAAGGAAGCAAATCAGAGGCAACTCAGTCTAATACCTGCACGTATCCATGTACAGCATACATGTACTTTTTTGCAGGATCAGAGAAGTGTCTCATTTTCCTGACACATTTACTCAAATCCCAAGGCAAAATTGTTACATTTACTTATTTGTTGAGAGGACATGGTGGAAGATGCCAGTTAAGTGCCCAATTGAAGCCACACAACCACACACACATATTGGTCCACACTCACCTCCTCCCAGCAGCAGAACAGTGTGAGTAACTCCTGGGACTGCAGTGCCCATACGCTTTATCCTTTTCTCCTGCCTGAGAGTCTGAATCATGGATCAAACACGTGGTCAGGTCATCAGTAGGTACCAACAGTGATATTTACAAACAGAAAATTATTCATGGGATATTATTTCAGTTGCCTAAAAATACACTCACGGTTGATTTCTTAGGTTCAAATCAAATCAGCCAGTCACATGTGGCAGCCCTTCAGTGCATTTGTTCACTGCAACTTTCAGCTACAAACCAGTTTCCAAAAATTTGAATCAAAATAAAGCGTAAGAGTTTGTGTCAGTGATGAACTAAAAAGATAAAACTTGATATTTTAATGATTTTTAAGGGGAAATTGTGCTCAGTATGAATTTATTGACACGTCACACTTAAGAAAAGCAGGGAAATTCCACTTTGTAGCATCCTATTTTTTTAAAAACAACAAAATGATAAGTGTTTGGGGCCCAACTGTTTTAGTTTTTAAAGCAATATGCTCCCCATTTTTGATTAATCTGTGTTTTCAACTGCAAAGGTCCTCTTTTGTTAAGTTTTGTAATGTGCTAACTGTTTCAGTGGGTCACAGATTTGGGTTGCAGAAGTACCAGGAGTCTGGTATGTTGAAGTCAGGTCATCAACTGGTGTTTATCGCCTCCACCATAAAAACCCAGGTTCTCCCTCCAACAGTTACTGCCTGGCAATAATTTCAGCCTCTCTTTCCTGTAGCTGGGTTTTAACTAGTGTTCATGAATGCAGCGGGGAGCTGTGTTCAGTGACAAAGGTTTTCAGAATGAGTTGTGTATGGCCTTCTTTCCTCGCTGAAGAGATCGATACCAGGAGATTAAACTGGCCTCATATTACTAAAACAGAAAAGGTAACCTACTTACCTTTTTATTTATGGACACGTACACTTTGCTGTCTTGAATATGGACCTTCAAAAGAGAAAATAAAAACATTTAAACAACAGCAAATGTGCTCATAAGCTTTGTATCAATCTGTCTCTCCGGTTCATACTTTGTGGCAAGGTAGACAGTCGATGCCGGGGTATTCCTCGAGATCGCCTGTGTGGACATTGAAACAGGAGCCGTGCCACGGGCAGCGCACTCTGTTCCCCAAAATAAAACCTGAACACACAAAGATGCGCACAAGAAAAATACAAGATGAAGACAAATTATTAAAACATAAGAAACACATATGAAGCTCAGACCAGTCTGATACCTTACAGTGTGCACAGACAAGATAAATTTCCTTAAATGACACTTTTCTGCCCACACAAGCACCCAGACTTGACTCAAGACTGAAATACATCTATGTCACAGAAATTCCTCTTCAGACTTCCTGTCTTCATACCTTTGCTAAGTGGAGCGCCGTAGTGTGTACACTGGTTCCCAATGGCGCTGTATTTACCCCCACTGCGCGTCAGCAGCACACCGTGATGTCCGACTTCAACTTCCATCATCCTGATATAACAGACACACACACACACACACAGACACACACAGAGAGAGAGAGAGAGAGGTTTTTAATTTTTTAGAATAAGATAAATTTCATTGTTTGTACATCTAAGCTTGTTTAACACTTCAACTTGGTCTTTTCCTCCAGCCGTGGAAGCGTCGTGTCTGCAGGGATGGCTTTATCTGGACTGAAAAAAATATTTTTTTAAGTAAAATGCACCTGAAATGTATAAAATCAAAGGTTTATGTATTAAAATAATTCATCATTAATGGGTATAAACTGAATGCACACCTATCAAGGAATTTAGTTGACCAGATTAGATTAAATGTAATGTTTTAGATTGAACTTATACAACAAAATTATGCACAAAAATTTATATGTAATCAAATTACATAAAGTTACCATTTTGGGCATAAATATTTTTTGAATACTTTGGGCTTTTTTATTTAAAAAAAAAAAGTGCCCGATGAAAACTGTAGTCTGTGGGCCATCAACCTTTTGCTGATTCTGAAGTGTGGTGTGCCAGAAAAAGTCTGAAAGCCAGAGCTTCAGTTCAGCCAGAGGACGTGGACACAGACAAGGTGGTCGTGTTATCCTCCTTATAAACTGCACTCACTTTGTTGATGCCTTACTCCTCCCCTGTTCCCGCAGAGGCTGTATTTTTTGATAAAACTGCAACCTTGGGGAGTTTTTGACGGGGTACAATCAATGACAAGGCCTCCTGGTAGTATTTTCACTAAAACTGTTGTAGTATTGTTGGGTTTTAGACAGGTTCAATAGCCCCAGTGTCTCTGGCTCGTGTTTATGAGGCTGTCTGATCTACAGTTTTGACCAGATGGCACAGACATATATTCACTCCGGAGCTTTCATCTACTGGGACCCCCACTGTCATTTAGACCCCACAGAGTGTCTAAATAATCTAAATAAAGGGGGTTTTGTGGTCAAATGCGTTTTACACTGTGAGGTACATACAGCTCAGCCCCAAGGAAAATTCCCCTTTCTGTCAAAGAAAAGAAGGTTAACTACACATTAATCCCTGAGATGTCTTAATTTAAAAAAAAGAGAGGCCAAGAAATGTTGCTTTAGCAAAGAAAGAAATCTCTGAGCAAGACTCTTTGAGCTTAAATTGTAAGAAATAAATGTGGAAAATAACAAAAAAAAAAGTCTAATTTCTCAGACTGACCAGTAATAATAGAAAAAAGGGTTTATTCACAGAAATTAACCATTTTTGTGAGGACAAAAAACAACAACAAAAACGAAATAGATTGGACTCTTTGCCGGGCCGTTTCTGGTCCCTGTCCCTTTTGTTTGACATCCCTGCTATAAATCATTCAAGTGTTTTAGATGTCACACTGAGACCAGTTTAAAATTTATAGCAATAACTGTTTATGTGGTTAAAACACACAGGCATATGTTTGCAGGTTCCCCATCCCCTCCTTACTGTCCATCCTGCAGGTCTGACTCCAGACAAACCACCTCTGTCAGCTCCTCTGATGGGTTCTCTGAATCAGAGTCCGTGAGCTCTCCGCGGGCTGCCCAAACACATTATAAATAAATAAATGAGTCATCAAATGAATGATCATCAGTTTACTTTCAGACACCACTCTGCTGAGGCTACTCACGCGGCTTGGTCGACATCTCTGTGATTCAGCTGTAAGAGCTCGCAGACACCAAGGCGAACCCCAGGGACATTAAAGGTTATTCAGACGCTCAGGTGGAAACAATTTGAGTCCTGCGTCACTTTGCTTTCCTCTCAGCAGATGAACAATGGGAGTCCATTTCCAAGGGAACCAATCCATCCCCAACCTGCATCCCAGTTGGTCAAGTGAAAAGTAGATGATTTGGCTCTAATCACCCTGGAAAGTGTCTTCGGTGAGGCAGTGAGTGGAGAGTTTGGACACTGTGGCGGCTCATGTTCAGCCGCCGTATTGTCGCAGAGAAAGGAGACCATGCTCTTTTGTTTTTTTACAACGGCAGCACAGAGAAAGGCTGACGAGGCTGAACGCTGAATGGAGGGGCGACAAAGCAACACTTACTCAACCACAGGTGGTTATAATTCACTCTAAAGCAGAAACACTGAAGTCAGGCACTGTGGTCACATTCACACATGAGGCTGCACGTCTATCAGATTTTCGCCCATATGTGCCACAAGGAATTTCATTAAGAACATCCAGTGCAAACAACAAGTTTGCCATCAACTCGGCTTTCACAAAACATTTCTTTTTTTAACATTGTTGAGATCACAGTTGTTGGAAAACTTTATAAAAGCAGCATTCATGGCAGTGCTGTTGGATTAGATTGATGCACAAAATAAATCATCACCCTACAAGATTTATAAACCACGAAGGGGGGTGTAGAGGGTGCTGAGAGACTTCCACTAAATCACTCTAATCAAGTCTACAAATGGCCTTTTTTTGTGTGCGCAGTGATAACAAAAGACAACAGAAAGGCCTAGGGTGAGGAGTGTGGAGCTGAGCTGTGTACGTGTGTGTACATATGTGTGTGGGGCTAGTAGAGCTGCTGAACTGTTCAGCAGACCTAACAGTACTGCTGAAAAGATGTCATAAAGATGAAGCGGAAGTGAGTTATGAAAGCCAGGGTTGTTGTCCTTGAGAGGCAATCGTACCATTATGTGTCCAGGGCTCTTTACTATCAGCTATGAGTTTATCACTTGGTGTGCGTGATGTGCGTTAGAGGGCAGAGACTAGAAACAATATATGATATATAACAGTGACCTCACAGTGACACAAGCGTCTCGTGCTCTCTTTTCATAAAGCGTGTTTCCACTGAGGTATGCACTGGACATGCGTGAGGTGAACTCCGCTCAACTATTGTTATGGATTTGAAATCAACACTTCTGCTCACTGGAGGCTCTGCCGGCTCTTTCAAACTGCTCAATGCAGTCATCAGAGTCCTGCCAACACCGCAGCCGGCACAGAGGAAAGCCTGGAAATGGAGGAATGTCAGCACGTCGTTAGCTCACAGCTGCCTGACAGGAGCGGGGGCTGTTTTATGGTTCGTAGAGGCGCGCAGCAGTCAGGGTAGTGTGGACGTTTGTTTTCTACTCGTGTGATATTCACTCTTCCTGTGGGCTCTCTCGCCCTGCAGCTTTTACCGTCACCCTCAGATGATGGAGGACCTGATCTCTTTTTGCTCCCTGCACTCCCACAGTCTTGTAGCTGTATCCACAGGTGATGCCCACACAAACACACGCACACACACACACATGCAAATGTGTATACATTGCATTTCAAAAAATAACTTGATAGCAGTTTAATACTTTAGCATTGTTTAAATACATGAGCTTGCACGCATATTTCTACCTCTCCTCCAGGGTATTTTATCCACGACTTCCTAGACATGGCCTTGAACCAGCCCTTCAAACAGTCCTGGGAGCTACTCCTCCACCACTCTTTGGTAATGACCTTTGTGGGTCTAATGCTTGGGTGTGTTTTTGCTAACACAGTGTGGAAACATGAACCAACATACACTTTTTGTAACGGGAACACATCAGTTTATTTTACCCAAAAACAGGGAATAATAATCCATCTATCTCAGTTAATAAGATACTTAAGATACTTCTCTCTTGTCCTTACAAATGTAAGTGAAAATTATGACCTCATAAGAGATCATAATGAGCTGCTTTTTGTTTTGTTTTTTACATTTTTGAATATGGAGGTCGAGTGATGCAGCTATTCACAGGATAGGATTTGATAGGATTTTTTGGACAAGACCCTGCGGAGTTGAGATGCTGGTGGGGGTGAAGATGAAAACTGAGTTCAGTAAAGTGAAGATGAGAGATGAGTCTGAAAAGAGATCACAGATTTAAACAACGCAGAGTGGAGGCTGATCGCCTCAAAGAAGCCAGGCAAGAAGAAAGTAGTAATGAAGAATATAACGATGTCAGTATTGAGATTGACAGCAGGGGAAAGTGGCAGTAATGAAATGAACAGACTAGCAGCCGAAGAGCCAGGAAAGCAGGCAGATGAGTGATTACAGATCTTCCTTATTGAACTTTCACATAAGCTTAATTTCTGTCATCCATTTAAAATATGGGATCTGAGTACTGTTTCATCTCCTGAGTGTGTAATCTAAGAACACAAGCACAAAGTTGAGTCAGTCTGGTGATAGCACTCATCCCATATCCGGGTGATAACGACGAGGTCAGTGAGCGAAACCTCAGTCGTGCTGCTCTATGCTGTGATTTTACTGTCAGCGCATACAGCAGACCTGCTTTCAGGCAGCACATGGTGTGTCATGGTGCGTTTGCTCCTGACTGTGCTGCTAAGTATCTCTATGCAGGTTCTACTTTATCCAAAGACAAAACGAGTTATTTATTTTTACGTGGCAAACAGTTAATCCTGCACAAGCCTTTCTGATCAAAGTTCAAGGTTCAAGTTTTATATGTTTGCGTCCAGTTTTCTCAGAGTGGGTCACCACATTCCTGAGGTTACCCAACAGTATATTCTCCTTCATGAAGTTTGGCTTGTTTTTAATTTATCCAGATACTTAATTCATTAAATTCATGCAAAAAAAAAAATCTCACAGAATGTTTAGTTACATAACTCTTTTACCAAACTTTATTTACAGCGATTTATTAACATTTTAAACTCTCTTCTGTTGTCATTCTGTTATTTCCTGCGGTATTATTTTCAATAGTGGGAGGGCAGCAGCGTCGCCTCTCAGCACGCATCAATAACAGTCAATATAAAACTGATAATTATGAGATCAATCAGCAGAGCCATCAGCTGGTGTGTGCTGGCACAGATCAGCTGATCTCAGGGGACGTGTGGAGCTTGACAACCTGAAATTCATCCTCCAGATACTAATGATGGTGTGTAAAAATTCATTCATAAAAATTCATGATTATTAAAGGCTATAAAGCCTTTAGTAATCATGGTCCAGCAGGATTCTATATATCACTTACTGACATTCATTTCTGGCTGGTCTGAAATGAGCTAATTCACATTTTTCATGATTAAAACTTGTGATTTTTGCATGATTAACGTGGAAATAAAGTGTTGTATTGCTGTCTCTTTGCATGTGCTGTTTTAACGTTTCTCTCAGGTGATCTCATGCTTCGGTTTGGCTGTGACGTCCCGCCTCTATCTGGGTTTTGCAGCGGTGTCTCTGCTGGTAGAGATCAACTCTGTTTTCCTTCATCTCAGACAGCTCCTCATCCTCTCAGGACGGAGGAACAAGCCAGGCACTGAACTCACCGCCCCTCAGCCCTCTCTCGCCTACAGCATCACCAGCTGGCTCAACGTGGGAACGTAGGTGGTTCAGGAATTCTTTTTAGCAGGAAGAAATGATCTTTTTATGCGAGGTGGGAAAAGATCATAAAGCACCTTTTTAAAAGCATTTTGAAGCATTTTTGAATATGTTACATCAAATAAATGTTAATATTATGCAAACTTAGCCTGAGTAAAGCCTTGTTAATTTTATTTAATGATGGCTTCATTTATTAAGGAGAGGAAAAAGCTAATTCCCCCGAAACCTAATAATTGGTTGTGTAACCAGAATTTTTGAGCTTAAAGTTGTGAGGCCTCCAGGAAACCATCTGCGCTCTACTTTTACTTCTTTAATCTGTTTCCTGAAAGGCCTGTTTTGTGTTTATCTGCCTGAAACTGTTGTCCAATAATCACAGATGTGCCAGTTTTATCCCAGCTGCTCCCACATCAATATCTCAGATACTGTGCAAGATACTGAATCCCAAGCTTTCACCATCTGGGCCTTGCATGGTGACTTTAGTGTAGACTGGTATCTGTCAGCTTGTTTCTTCTGTTTCATCTGCAGGTTTCTGGTGTTTCGTGCCTGCACGCTGGGCTGGATGAGCCGCTGGCTGGCCGGTCACAGTGAACACATTCCTCGTTATGTCCTGATGATGGGGGCCGCCGGCCTGAGTCTCATCTCCACCATGAACGTGGCGATGTTTTATAAAATGTTTAAAGCGGACATTCTCAAAAACATGCGCAATACCACTGAGAGCCACTAGGGGGAAGCAGAGCTGTGTTACTCCTGCACAAGTGACTTGAATCCGTTTTCTACCTCATCACGTGGTTAACGCTGCACTTGCAATTCATTTTCTATGCAACGGACTAAGCAAATATGTTTTGTTTACAGGCGTAACACAAAATAAAATAAAATAAAATGTGGATGCATAAGATAAAGTGTTTGGTGATACTATTTAGTCATGAAATCCCTCTCATTTCAGTTTATAACCATTTGCAAAGCATCTGTGAAAAAGAAACGTGTGAATAAAAACAGCAGATATCTGTAGCTTGATTTATTTATTTATAATTAAAATTAACTTCAGTGCTCTTCTGACATCATTTTTAAATATATGTAGTTTCTAAGATTCAGTTCAACACGTGACTCCAAAACTTATCTCTGTAAGCTTTAATTTTATATTTATTGTGATTTTTCTCCTGTAATTTTAAAGTGAACTGCAGTGGCAGGAGATATAGGAATAGAAGGAGGGGGAAAAGAAGTTAACATGCAATAAAACCCCAAATAGACCAGTTTACAGTGAACTACATCATGATTCTCTTCTGCTGGAACATGGTAACCAGAGTGGGAGGTTTGCAGCTTGTGTTGGGCTGGATTTCTTCTCGCATGCGTGGCAGGTAAATCTTCTCCGTCCTGGACTCCCTCTCATAATAACGACACACCTTTAGATGCTCTGAGATAGGCGGCACATCCTGGAAGCACCACGTATCCACCGGAGAGAACAAGGTACTGAACTGCCAGACCTGCAGTGATGAACAGCGATGGAGATGCAACTAAATATAAGGTCCTGACTGCAAAAGGGGGAGAGATATCTCACATTTTGTTTCACATTAAATCTTTCAGTGCTTTGATTGTCCAGAATGGTCACTATTACAATAGTTTAAAAAATGAGGTGATTTGCAGGCCTCTGCTTTTTCAAACTGGGAAACCATTCAATCTGTCATTTTTATTTATTCTGAAGTTGCTTCAATTATATTTCGATAAGGGTGCTCTTTAGGGTGAAGTCAATATTTCTAATATAATCTGCTCCAAGTGGTCACAGCATGAATTATGTGATTCATGAAGTCAGAAAAAAAGACTCATGATTACAAAGATGTTAAATTGCATTCATTCAGTGACTTTTTGCTTTTTGCTGTGAAATGTTGCATGAGCTTACTTCTTTGGCCTTCAACAATTAAACAGCCTGGTAAGAAACGTCAGCGTTGTGTTTTCTAAACTAAATGTAGCATCACTTGATTGCTATCAAGGCAAACCTGCTACATGATGACAACAAGATCAACAATCATCTGGTTTCTTGTGCCTCCAGCTCAAAGCCAAACTTGCACTCGTCCCTCATATCTTCCTTCTTTTATGCTTTATTCTTGCCTTTATTTCTAATATTTACTTCTAATCTTAATTGCCCCTTGGGGATAAATAAAGTCTTTCTGATTCAGATAAACATGAAATATCTCGCATTATGTCTACTGTGAGTCCTGTTAGCGTGGCTCCAATCTTACCCTCTGCTTCACCCTCCACTTGGCTCCTCCATGAGAGTAGGTCTTCCTCTCCCAGCGGAGGGTGACCATCCCTCTCTCCTTCAGCTGAGAGGAGCACACCTCCCTCATGAGGTGGGACACCATAGCTAGCTGGGACAGGGAAAAGCTGTCCAGGAAACTGGCCACGTGGCACAGCACTTCGTAGGGAAGAGAGCTCAGCGAGTCGTCCGCTCCTCCCGCTCGACTGCCTCTCTTCCTCCAAGCAAAGCTGGTGGAGGCATCCGAGCTCCTGGATGTCTGGGAAGTGTCACCCAGGCAAACAGAGGTGGTGGGAATCAGGCTGAAGCAGCCTAGATCATCGCTGAAAGTACAGACGAAACTGTGGTCTTTGAAAGAGTATTGGATTTTTGTTTGCAGAGGATTAAAATGCTTTGACTCTGATCTGAGTTATAGATTGTTAAAATAAAAGTTATAGTAGCTTTAAGGTTAATTTATGCATCATATTTGTTATTTTCACAACAGTGTGAGGTTAAAAGTGTGACTTGTGATGAAATACAAGATTAACTGAAGTTCTGAAGCGTTGTTCAGTTTGATGCTTTCAATTTTACAGCCCAAAACCAAAATCAGGGACACCTTGCAAGCAATGAAATATAAGAGTGAAGCATTAAGAGCTAAACTTACAGATAGTGTATTTGTGTGCTTGTAGAAGCTACAAACATCCAAAAAGGAGAAAATATTACTCAAAGAGGCCAAAACATGACAGCTGTGCTCTGCATCTGCAGGATATGTGAACAGATAACTATGTGCAAAATGTTTAACTAGTCAGTTTGATAGTGTGTTTCTGCTGCCCTCAAGTGGTTACAAATAGTTGTTGCAGATTTACACGAATCACTTTGACATAAAGAGAAGTGTGGAAAAAAAAATCTACACGCACCACGATTCAGCAGCTCAGATTCAGAAGCATCTTTAGCAGCAATAACGTGAAGTAATCATTTTCTGCAAGACTTTATGAGACTTTGATATCACTGTGCAGGAATCTTTGCCCACTCTTGTTTACAATGTTGTGTCATGGAGGTTTGTGGGCGCACGGTTATGCACGGCTCTCTTAAGTTCCCACCACAGCATTTGAATCAGTTTTTGGACGGGGTCATTGCAAAAGTACTTTCTTTCCCTGTACTTGAGATCATTGCCCTGTTGCATGACCCAGGTTCGCATTTGACTCTTGAATACTTTGATATGGTTTTGTTTGTTCAAGTCAGTGGCTGCAGTGCACTCAGGTCATTTGGCTACAAAATAAGCGCAAACCATCACTCCTCCACCACCGTGCTCTAAAGTTAGTTTGAGGTGTTTGTGCTCACATGCTGCTTAGTTTCTGCCAAACCTCCACTGTGGTCTCATCTGTACAAAGGACGTAATTAATAAATGTACTTCACTGTTGCTTGCAAATGTTTTTCAGATTATTGCAGTTACTCTCTGCCCAGCACTAAAGTTTACACAGGAGTCTATGCACTCCTGTGTAAACTTTCTTTATCACATGACTGTATAAAGAGCTTTTTTATTTTCTACACAACTCTGAATTGATTTTTTTTTATTGTTTATAAAGCTCAGAAAGTGAATTAGAAATGTAACTGGGACACAGTGCAGTTAGAATGTGTACCCTGTACCCCTCTAACACGCTTCAGCTCACAGTTAAATTTGTTTACATTTCGATGAACTCTCACTTGTAGCTGATGGTGGCTTCGTGTGTGGAGGGCTGAAATCTCCTCTGGCTGTAGCTGCATCCCAAGTAAGCGAGCGGGCATCTCTGCTCGAACCATCCGTTTACACACATCTGGATATCACTGTGGACGTTCCTGAAAACGACAGAACATTTTTTATTAGAAATAGATCACTTTGCTCTCACAGTAACAGATGGGGTTTAGAGCATCATTCTGAGTCAGTGACTGCTTTGTGTATTTCTTGTTCAGGTCTTAATCTCTTTAAACGATGCAAAACCTAAATATTTAAGAAAAAACAACTCACTTGTAATGTTTGCCATATTCTCTGCGCTGGAAGGTGTGTCCACAGAGGAAGGTGAAGGCGGAGCTGGCCTTGTGATGTCGGCTGGTGACGCTCTCCACCTGCAGCTGAAGGTGCAGCTCAAGCGGTTTGACAGCCGTCAGGTCGGCCAGCGAAGTGTTTCTCCGGAAAGGAGCCGACAGAAAGCTGTAGGTCTGCGTGCCTTCGTCTGTTAACAGACCGTCTGTGCACACGCTTTCTGCAATGAGGTGACCCCTCAGCTCCTTCTCCAGGGAACACAGCAGAGAGGCCTGAGCAGCCAATCAAACAACAGAGCAATATTTCATCAGGGAGCTTCGTAGCTGGTGAGCATTAAACAACAACGACAGCAAAAACGACTCTCATTTATTAAACATATATGACAAATATGACATAAAACGTCATCAGTAAACAGTAACACTTGTTTGTTTACTCCGTGCTTTGAGAAAACATGAACATTTGTTCTCTGCACATTTTGTTCCATTGGCTTGTGATGCTCCAGGATTTAAAATACAGTCTAAGAAGGTACAAGAAAGATATATTCCTGCTCAAGAACATGAAAGAAGTTTTTTCACTCACACTGTCGGCTTATAAAATGTAAAAAGAAATTAAAAGCCCTAAAAAACAACAACAACAACAACAACAAAAAACCAACAGTTCTTTCTGATATTGTCCTGCAGCAAAGCCACACTCTCCTCTTAGATAACCAACTTAAGTGTTTTATTTTATAATTTTTGCATGTGTCCCAGCACTAAAACCTACCGAAGAAAATAAAAATGAAAATAGACATACATTTTTGTAAATGACCTGAAAGAACTTCAGTAACTTCATCTTCTCGCTTCAAACTTATTACCATTCACCTTCATCAGCTAGACTGTTTTCATCAGGGTGTCAGCTATAACCATCATGCTTTATATGTTTTACAATCATATTATTCCTGGCTTTTAAATCTCTTTTAATATCATTCTTGATGCATTTTGTTGTAAGGTGACCTTACAATTCAGGACAATGATTCAGCTCTATGAGGTTGCTGAATCATTTATAATGTTTAATTACTTTGACATACACGTCTTAGGACTGTGGATGGGAGCGCAGGAAGAACTAATGCACATGGAAAGTCTTAAAATCATTATGAGTAATGCAAAAGGAGGTATTGAGTCTGTGGAAATCCTTTACTGGACTTGTCTACAGAGCTTTTCAGCCATTCTGAATTCATGGGTCACCTCTCTAACAAAACTACAAAATGCACAGCATTAGCAACTATCTCGTGAAACAGAATGCAACATATATTCCTCTGAGGTCAATAGAGACTGAAAACTATAAAGCTAAAAGCAAGTAAGCAATCAAGCAAAACATTAAGACACACCTTTAAAACAATAAGCAGCTGTCTGCTGATAGGTCTGAATGCATGAATGAATCTGAATGAATCAGTGCTGTGTTCACTGCTTGTTTCTGCTGTACCTTAGTGACTTTTTTAAAGCCTTTGCAGGTCTAAAAGGACAATTTTACAAAAAGTCTACAAGGAGGTTCAATTTCTTTGCCTCACCTGAACTTCCTCCCACACTGGCATTGCCTCTAGTGCCACCCCCAGGTCACTGGTATCCACAGCTTTGCTCTCTCTTTTGTAAAAACCTGGGTTGCGGATGCGGCTCTGCTTGGCAGAAAAGCTGGTCGGGACTTTGAAAGTGCGCACAATGATGATCTTCATTGGCTCCAGGCGTTCATATGTAAACTTCTTCTTGTTCAGAGTGCTGGTCAGCAGTTTGCAGGTGTTTGATGATGTTGCACCTCCACAGGTATCTGCTTTATCTTCTTCCGTAACGGTGCTCAAGCCTTTCCCCCTCCCTTTAGCCAGTCCCCGTCCCCTTCCTGCCACAGCCGTCCCCTCAGTTTCCCTGCATCCACCCATCTCCATGCTGAACATTCGCTCCCAGGCGCTGTAATTTTCAAGATGATCAGCCTCTATTCCTGATGCCCTTGCAAGAGCCTCTCTCTCTTCCTGTGTAAGCACCTGCTCATATTCGACCTGAACCTCTTCCTCCTCCTCATCTTCTTCTTCTTCTTCTTCTTCTTCTTTGTCATCAGGGGTATTATCATTCAAATTGTACGTGTTAAAAGAGGCCCAGGCGAGCTCACTGGCTTGCTTTGCAGCTGCCCTTTCTGCTGCCTCCTTCTCCAACATGGCCTTTTTCTTCCTCTCCTTTTCCTTCCTTCTCTCCTCCTCCATCCTCCTTTCCTCCCTCTCCTCCTCCTCCACACACTGGATCAGCTCTGGGAACAGTTTCTTCATCTTCATGGAGTGAAAGAGGCGGTCCTGGTCTTTCAGAGCCAAGGCCAGGTCCAGACACCTTCCCTGCGCTCTTTCTCTGAGCAGGTTTTCATGCAGCTCCATGTTTGGGAAGGAGTGGGCATCATTGGCTGGCCAGCGGTTCCACTCCATGGAGCAGCACACCACGCTGGCCGGGCACACCTGGAGGTGAGCTGCCCGTGAAGAGCGAGGCAATTGGATCGGGCAGCCGTACTCAGCGTTGATGCAGGGCACCCTCACATTAGGGCAGAGCAGCAGGTGATCCTCTTCTTTGCACAGGTGGAAGAGAGCGCCACAGAGCAGACGGCAGGGGATGACTGCGCAGCACACAGAGGCCTCTACCCGAGCCCTGCAGCGGCGGCTGTAGCAGGAATCACAGTGGATGTGGTGGCGCACCTTGGAGGCCCGAGAACGGTGACTCTGATTTGAATGAGAAAATAAACAGGAGGAGCCAGCCGTGCAAGAATGATGACTTACTCAAAAAGCAACACAAGACATTAAAACACAACTCATTAAAGCTGAAATATGTAGAAGAATTATGAAGAAGGAGTCAATGTCGCACGTTCTGTTTCTAACCTGACTTTCTTTCTGCACATCGTGTTGGCTGCTACATTGACTGACTATCCCGTCTTGAGCTACGAAGTAATATCATAGAAAAAATCTGTGCTGTTGCACAATCATACTGGACATGCTTTTGCATGTTGGATGCCCAAGAACGATCACTCTGATTTGGAAAAATTAAGAGAAGACCAGACTGATTTTTCAGGAGGTCTTACTAATCCAGCTTCTTTTGTCAATTTTTAAAAGTAGAAACAATAGATGTATAACAAGACAGGTTTAAAAAGGATTTTGGATTTCTGCAAACAACATATGTGTTCAATGGAGAGATGACAAACATAACACACCTCATGTGACAAATGTAAAGCTGCTGAAGGAAAAACAACCAACAGCGTTTTGAAATTTTTGGGGGGATCTGACGACTGCAAAAATGAAATCATACCATTTTTTCAGATCCTCTGGTGCCAGGTCTCTGAAGGTGCAGGTCTGCCCTGCGAACAGAAAGGAAACTGTTAATCAGACTGAGCCCAGTGCATGTAAATGGACAATCAGAGGATATCAGCAGAATCCTGTGGCGTAAGATTCAAAGAGGGTTTGAGGTTTGAAAGGAGAGAAAGTCCTCGCACTCCTTCTGGTACTTTTAAAGACCAAGTGTTTCCATGTGTGTCTGTTATGTGTGTTTGTGTGTTATAAATAGAGCTCAGCACTGACTGAGAAATCTTATACGGGTGGTCAGAGACATGGTTTGGGTTACTGGTCGTCTCAGACACTTGCATCAGAAATCTGCCTACTTTCATTCTGCGCGCAGCAAAACGAGGCAGATTCTTGCTTAATATCCAAACGGAGTCCTCTAGTGGATATTTAAGTGTTGTCAAAACACTGTCAAAGTGAATTTATTTTGCAATTGTTGCAGCAGAGGCTGAGCTACTTGTTCTAATGTACTTGTACTAACAAACTTGTGCTCGGACACATAAACTCAGGCAGTGAATACGGAGATAGGAAGTCTTGTATAAAGTTTGGCACCTGTGGCTCCCCGCTGCAGCAATGTTGAGAAGCTGAGCGCGGAGTTATTTCTACTTGTGAACCTGCTTGTGCTGCTTGGCTAATTATAACCTACCAGTTCAAAGAGCACGGGGACAGAAAGCAACGTTATAAAACCAAAGAGAAAAAACAACTCGTCCGTGCTGTCCAACCGGTAAGATATTTGTCGAGAAGGTTTGACTCCATTGTGAATTTGCTGAAATTCTCTGAGATTACCTGGTTTCATCTCTAATTTGAAAGGATTCCAGTGAAACTGCTCGAACAAGTGATAAAAGTGGAGAAGTGAAATATTTCAGCTGATCTAAGTGCTCGTCTGACTTGTACGTGTCGAGATTTACAGCCACACAGGCCACAGCTCGTTCTGGGTGTCTTTAAAACTGCACCAGAGCCAAGTGACATTTGTTTTACGCTTAGTGCAAAAGCTGCTGCATCAGTGTAGAAATGCTGCCCAGAACTTATTTGCCTGCTTGTTTTGCCTGTTTTAGGTCATTATTGTCAGAGTCTACTTGTTACTGAACAGGAAAGCAAAAAAGTGGGAAACTGTTTTGACTTTCACAATATTTTTTTTGCAGATGTTCCTTCAGTTTTTAAAACCATGTCCGGTCAGGATGGCATGGTGGTGCAGCGGTTAGGACTGTTGCTTCACAGACTTTCGTTCTGGGTTTGAATCGAGAGGTTGCTCTGCTTTCTCTGTCTGTACCGATTTCTTGATAGATTCCAGTTACAACTTCCCCTCTGCAGCTCGGGATCGGACAAGAGGTTTAGAAAACATTTAGATTCTCAAGTCGTGCAAAAGGGTAGTAATATGTTTTGTTTGAACACCTCTGACACATCCTGGCAGCAACCAGACTGAGAAGCATGAACTCTCCAAAGGATTCTGTTGTGTGACTTTGGACTTTTTCACCCTTTTATGCAGACAAATGTACAGAAACATATTTGTGGGTTTGAATGAGTGCGAGATGAACTAAGTAAAAAATTTTAATGGTTTATGGCAACATATGAGCTTCGGTTTTGTTCATTTTGCTTTGTTTACTTGTCTTTAACAATCTGATATATTGTACGTGACCAGTGATGATGGATTGCATGTGGATTAAATGTGGCCTATATTATTCAGTGTTGGGATGATGTCACAGAAAGGTCATATCATGTCATATCATGCTTGACAGAAATGTCAATCATATACATTTGCTTTGTATTTTCTTCTTGCAGAGTTAGAAAACCAGCTGAAGTCCCGTTAATATGGTGAGTCAGACTTTTTCTGCTGTTGAATTAAAGATTGAAGCTCATAGAGCTTTAAAGGTGGAGTATGTAAGATTGGTTTTAAAGATTATTTAAACCAATGGACAAACCTGCTTCCATCTCATATATACATATGTCTATTCAGATACAGAATAATGTAGATAATTCACTGCTAATGCTATTTTCTGATATCCCACTGTCCTCCACTCATTATTATAATGACTTATGTGTGGTATTAAGGACAGTGTTATTACTATTGTACTATCAAGACTAGACAACCCCATTGCCTAGCTCTAATAGATCTATGTATTATTATGATATTATCATTGTTGTATCTTAAAGATAATGGAAATAATCATGCATGCATGTAACTTGAACTCCCCACCTTTCCAAGCTACCCCCTTTTGAATATAGTAACTATATAGTCTAATTGAGATAACCCCCATCACTCTTTTCATTGTTAAATTCTCTGATCCTCTGAGTTTAATATGATCAACAAACCACTTATACTGTAAGGAGGCTGTCCCCCCGACTCTGATCAGGTCTGGGGGTGAACCAGAGCTCTGAAACTGGACTTGTAACAGTTGTAATTCCTGCATTATGCGCACCATAGAAAAGATTTCCACTTACAAACCATCACTCTTGACCTCAGTGACCTTTTGTGCCAGAGCTATCCTCTGAGTATAGTCTCTGACTGACTGTCTCTGTAGTAGTTTTACAATCATTATTACTGTTATATTCCCTTTTTTCACCCCTCCTAAGTGCATTTATTTTGGACTGAAGAGAAATGAGGACCCTCACACTCAACACACACTCTCACATTCACACCACACCTATTCTCTTTACCTGCTCTGTCTTGTCTTGTTGGTTGTCATATATCTTTCTCTAAGTATCCTAATCCATGTGATGTCCTACTCCTTTTGTGGTATTCTTCAAAATAAGGTTTATTTAAAAAAACGATTCAAATATTATTAAATTAACAACAGATTATGAAACAACAGATCATGTGTATTGTGTTGTAGAGATATCCACCAAAGTTTGCATGCTAACAGCACATGCTATCAGTTTGTATCTAAAGACTAAATTGAGAGCTAAAATGAGAGCAAGAAGCAGTGCAAACAGGTTACGTCTATGATGCCAGACCAACATAGAGTTCTGAAGCATCCCTTTATTCCAGGGAATTTCACATATTGCACCTTTAATGAGCCATATTTTCATATATTGTAAACATCTTGTCATCACTGAATCATTCTGGGTTTTTTCCTCATCCAAATCAGAGTCGGCGTTCTCGGGCCTCCAGGATGCAGCAGCACATCCACTGTGATTCCTGCTACAGCCGCCGCTGCAGGGCTCGGGTGGAGGCCTCTGTGTGCTGTGCGGTCACCCCCTGCCGTCTGCACTGTGGCGCCCTCTTCCACCTGTGCAAAGAAGAGGATCACCTGCTGCTCTGCCCTAATGTGAGGGTGCCCTGCATCAATGCTGCGTACGGATGCCCTGTTCAGCTGCCTCGCTCCTCACGGGCATCCCACCTCCAGGTGTGCCCGGCCAGCGTGGTGTGCTGCACCATGGAGTGGCTCCGTTGGCCGACCGATGACACAAACCCACACAGCCACAAAGCCCTGCAGGACAACTTGGTGAAAGAAAGTGAGGGACAGGAGGAGGCTCTGGACCTTGCCATGGCCATAATCGATCAAAAGGACCTTTACAGCCGCCTAAAAATGAAGCCGCTCTATCCGGAGCTGACAGAGGAGGAAGAGGAGGAAATAAATGATGAGATGAAAGAGGAAGCAGCAGCTGGTGGAGTAGTCAATGGTGTCGTAATCGAAGATACCAGTGATGGTGGGTAATAGTGGTGCTTTTCAAAAGATGCTTTCCCTAACAAAATCTGCCTAAGAGTTACTGAAAACCTAAAACCCATATGTTACACCCCGGCCTAGGCAACCGGCGTGCAACTTCCACAAAAATAATCCCAAGACGAGATTTAAAGCAAGATACGACATTTATTTACATCACCAAACACAAGGCGCCAAACTATTTACAACGGGGGGGAGGAGAGAGAGAGATCGCGACCATGACATACAGAAACACAGGGCTTAAATACATAGAAGGAGCAATTAGGGAATGGACCACAGAAGGGATACACAGCTGGGGCAAATAAGACCTGACGAGACAAGGAAACGTAAACTGAACACTAAGATAACACAGACTTTCAAAGTAAAACAGGAAACACATAACAGTCACGCCAAAACAAAACGCCTAAAACAATACACTGCCACCGCCGAACCGTAACACATGAGAGATTAAAAATAAATTGAATTTTGTGAGATTAAAATCATGTTTCAGGTACTCTAAAAATAGATTTGTGATAAATAAATCCTTAACACTTCTATCAGCACAGGATATTTCTGGATTAAACTAAAACATCTTCAACTAAATTAAAACTGATATGTTTTTGAAACTCAGTAAAGTTCATTTTCTCTCTTTGAAAAGTGTATTTCATTTATTTTTTCTCTCCAGGTCTTCCTAAAAACACCTCCTGTGAGCATAGTGGTGCTGAACAGACTGTACCAAACAGTGCTGTGCAAGGTTCAGGCATCAACAAAGATAAATATGACCTGTTCGAGATGATGTTCAGCATGGACAGAGGCGGCTGTGAGGCCGCTCAGGAAAATCTGAACAACCCCAAACAAAACCCAAACGTTGGTGACAAGGGAAAAACTCAGAGTGGCAGAAATCCAAAAGGGACTGAGAGGCAGGACCAGACAGACGCAGAGAATGACAGCTCTGCTGCCAAAAACTGTCCCCCAGCGGACACCAGTAAGACCGGGATGGCCCCGTGGCAGGAGGGAGTGCTGGACCGTTTGGGGCAGGAACTCACACCACATGAGTACAACATGTACGTGGTGCATCATGGTCGCATGCTGCTAGCCTTTGGACAAATTGAGGCCTGTACTCCAAGGGAGAAAGACTTTGTGTACGGCAGCTTGGAGCCTATTCCAGTCCAGACACTGCGCTCATTCAAGGTGATGAAACTACATTTATTTTTTTTATTGTAAAACAGAAATAGGACAGAACAGGATGTTTAAGTGCCACTGTTGCCTTACTTAAAAAAAAAAGAAAAGAATTGCTACTACGTCTCTCATTTTTCATGTGCAAAATTCAAGGTTTTGAGGATAGATGGATAGACGCCACTAGGACGTCATTTCCATCCGTGTATGACCATTCAGACCAGTTCTAAACAGTCCAAAATCTAAACTGGACTTTAAGAGCTCCTTTTACATCTGATTTTGGGTTTTAACTAAGAGCAGGAAGTGGAAAATGAAAACGTTAAGAGTGAAGCACAAATAACAGCTGCTAAAAGCTCCAACCAAAGACAAATTGCACTC